ATTACTTTAAAGCATTCAATACTTTCTCCATTGTTGGCCTAAGAAATCAGAATCATAAGTCAAAGCTGAGGAAATTTTACCACTAATAGTCAAATAGTAAAGCTAATAAAAAACTAAAACAGATGTTTCTTTTTCTTTTTGATTTCTTATATGTTGGAGGTAAATGAGATAAAATGTTTCCAAGTAACTACCTTTCCATCAATTCTTATACTAGATGGATGATCCTGCTGAACCTCCTCATCTTGCACGCTATCTTTCTCTTTCTTAGCAGAATTCTGGGAGAAAGGATTAGATGCAACTCCATTTGATCCATCAACTTGATGGCCTGAGGTAACTCGTCCTTCATCCATGAGATCTATAGGCTTTGATTGAGGTTTTAGCAAGACATCGGAAGACACAACACTGCTAGCATGAGAAGAGAGCTGAGGAGCTTCTGCTTCTTTGGATGATGACAGCGAAAGGTTATGCAAAGAAATACTCACTGAAGATGTTACTCCGCTATAAGAACCTTGAATGCCATTAGTGCCGTTTTCACAATTGATTACAGAGTTGATGACTGCTTCTCCATTAGGCAACTTGTTATCACCTTCCAATCTGATTCCAATGCCACATCCCACTTCGCTGGGTAAGCCAGAGGTGTCAGCAACCTTCTGAGAGTCCATCAGGCGCACCTCCTTTTCAAGGTCACAATTGACAGGCACCGCATGAAAATTTTCATATGAAGTCCGATATGGACCTTCACAGTTCCCGAAGTCAGAACCAGTTAAGAGATCTTCCAGAATGTCCATTCTCCTCACAGATGGGCATGAACTCTCAGTGGCATCAGAGTTCAAGAGCGATTGATCAACCACACCAGTAAATGCACCATAACAACCTAAAAGGGATTTCTCAGGATTTAGATTCCTTTGCTGTGAAAGTGCAGGGCCACCCCATGTACTCGGTTTCTCATTACCACATGGGACATCCATCAAGTAACTGTCTTTCAATGAATTAGAATCCATCATCCTCACCCTTTCTTCCATTGTTTGCTCAGAAAAACCATAACAATGCCTCCATGAATTTAGATTGTGAGCTCTCATAGGCTGCCCCTGCTTTGCAATGTTCGAATTTGGCCTGAGCCCGGGGTAGCATTTCCGTACTGAAATCCCCTGCTTTGTTCTGTGGTTCCCCATTTCAGCTATGTTGCTTCGATCATGATTCCGAACATGGTACTGATAACACCGCTGATTTCTAGAATCATTCACACCGAATCTATGGTTACGGATGCTGCTATTAAAGCCACCACACACCTTATCTCCGGCATAAGAAGACTTGACAGGATACAGAGTTCCAGCCAAAGCATCACCACTATAATGACAACTCAATTGATCCTTCACTGAATAACAATTGGCTTCCCAAGGCTTAACGTTCTCTCTGTTCCCAGCTACTCCAGAGTTTCCCAAATCCTTCTTAGCATTACAACAACAATTACAAGTTGGTTTCTTACCCGAAGAACAATTCATTGGTTTCGAACACTGTGTTGCAGGGACTGACTGACTATACATCCCAACCCCATTACAGAAAACCCGACCCGACCTCGCCGAACAACACTGCCCAGAACTATCTGTTTCAACACGCAAATTCCCATATCTGGGATTCAATGGATTGGACCGAGACACTGAAAACTGCACTTGATTATTACCCCAATTACTCCCTACTCTGTTACCCAACAAGTCTCTGCTGATCGAGACTTGCTGTTCAGGGCCTAAATGTATAGGTGGACGTTCATATGAAGCACACTTTTGGCTCTCGCCAAAGCAACCCATTTCCATTTCACTCTCATTAACATCAAAACCACGGCCTAAAGCCGATTGCTTTGCTAGCAATTGCTGTTTCAACACCATCTTCCTCAGCGACTCATCACCATACCGTACAGCCCCTGGGTTTTTAACCGCCACCTTATCATCTATCGGAGCCCCGCCCAAATGATGGGTCTCAATATTTGGGCTCTCGGACTCAAACCCATTACTGAATTTCACTCCCTTCACGCAATTAACATGAACATTAAGATTATCGTTGCCATTGCTACAAACAAAGACCCAGAGCCTCGCGGACTTACCGCAGAGCTCGAGCTTGTCGTACTCGTCGATCATGCACCGAACGTCGTCGTCGGAGACGATGAGGACGAGAGGGGAGGTTTCGGAGTCGGAGCCCGAACCGGGAAGCTGGTATTTGAGGGTAAACGAGGGATTAATATTGGGGCAAAGATCCAAAATCTTTGATCGGAGCTTCGAGAACCCGATGTTTCGGTCGACGGATACGATTCTGGCTTCGCCACCGACGTACCGGAGCTTCCCGGAAGGTGGTCTAGGCTGGAAGGCGCCATTGAAGCTGCACACCAGCTTGAGCTTCTTGGGCTGAGAAGTGGGCCTTTTGCGACGAGAGAGAGGTGGCTCTTTCATGGATGTCATAGAGAGAGTGAGTGATTCTTGGGGTGTGTTGAGAAACAGAGTGTGAGAGTTTGTACCTGTATTGTATGGGAGTGTGCCAGGGTTCAAGTCGTTACCCTGAGAAGTGGTTGAAATTTCCAGGTTGCCACTGTTTTTCATGTCAGTTTAGTAAATTTGTTGCGTTTGTGGTTTTGCAACTTGAGTTGAGGTTGCTATATATTATGATAATTCCAAATCTGATTTGGACAAGACTTAATTATAGGTTTTTTTTTTATCTTCTTCTTTTTCTGTCAAATGAACCTAAATACATATTTTTCTTTTGATTTTGCCTTTTGAAAGTCCAATACAAGACTTTGTGTGGGAATCTTGTGACTTACTCTCTCCCTTTCTTTTTGTTCTTTTTGCCTTTTTGGACTCATGTAAATGGCTAAATAAGAGAATAAAAATCAATTAAATACAGAGTTTATAAGAAGATAATGAAGCTCCCTTTTTTTAAGGTTGAAGCCCACTTATTATTATGATTCTTATGGAATAATAACTTCCAATCATAAAGGAATTATACTGCATATCTGATTTTGTAGTCCCCAAATCTAATCACAATTGACGTTGGATTTCTTCTTAGCCCTCAAATGGTGGATTGTTTTGGTTTTTTTCTACTATCATGATTTTGCAAAGGCATCCCACAAAACCTTTGCAAACAAAATTACTTTCCAAGTGTTAATTTTTCAATCATCGTCTCATACTGATCATCGATTGCATTCACAATACTTATTGCATAATGCATTTTTCTTCTTTTTATAAATGAATTGAGATTGATTACTTTTGTAGAATTTTGTTAGTATCAGACCACTCCGTTTTATTTATACATAGAAAGTAAAGAATGACCAAGTATGATAATTATAGCGAAACTATTGATCCTGGAATCGGGGAGTTTGAGAAACAAACGAATAAACCTAGATGCTCTCGAGTCGAATATGATTCTATGAACCAGGAGGTGGTTTTCGTTTATATCCATTATTTTTAATTGACAAAGGGGCATTTTAGAAAATAATAAGGCATGCAAGGGTATTAATTTACAAGCGCAATGAATATGTTCTCTTTACCATTGGATGGTGCCATTCCATTGGCCTGTTGGCTGGCGGTTACATTCTAACGAGATAACCTCCCCTTTTTTTGTCTTTTAGTCCAATTAGGAAACCTTTAGTCAAAGCAGCATTTTACATATATCATTCAATTTAATAAATCCTGTGCTATATTGCGCCAAGCGTATACGTTTGCAAACTACTGGAACATCAATCTTTTCTAGGAAAAAGGAAGTTCGTACAAAACAAAAACTCTGGTAATGGAATAAAAATTACCTTTAAAATTCTAAACCAACCAAATATATTATTCTAAAAAAAAGGGGGGGGGGGAAGAGGGGGGCATAAAATAATGCACATGGGTTAGTAAGTCATTGATTTTGGGTTGATAATTAATTTCAGAAAAAAAATGATATATAAAAGAATGAAAATATAATATGAAATACAACAATCTCTCTTTTTATTTATTTATTTAATTATATATATATATTTAAGAAAAACAAAAATAAGAAACAAGAAGTATCCAGCATTTTGTTCTCAAAAAGAAGTATCCAGCCTTGGAAGTCGCTAGTATTATTCTTATTCTTAATAGTCGGCTAATTGTTATACATTGCTTGGATTATGAGATTGACATGGGCGGCGTAAGTTAGCATCCGAGCTGAGAGGCTTTTAATTAATTAATTATTACTATTTCTATGTGCATACGTGGGCCGCTGTATTTCATTCCCACTCCACCTGAGAGCCACAAAAGCTGCTGCTCCTCCTCCTTATTTTTTGCCATTTCCGGTTTTTGATGATAGGTGGTGACACGCGGCCCGGTGCCATCACAACACGACCCCAATCATAACATTGTTGTGGGGTGGGGCGGCTTGAGATGGGTGGGGCCCAAAATCTGATCAACACGTAGGTTTTGTTTCTAGTGACGTGGATATGTGAGAGGAGTGATGACTCACGGAGATGAAGGTGCAGTGATGACAAATCGTGATGCGATGTCCATTACTCTTTGCGATTACGAATTAAATATTAAAATATTAAAAATTTGGGCTGTGGTTTTGAATTGGATGGGCTTGAGTTAGATAGGAAAAGGTAACAAAATGAAAGTTTGGGCCGAGCCACAGTCTGGCCCAGCTCTTGCTATAATCCCACCATCAGTTCACAATTAACGAGCGATAATGACAATCAACGATTTAGAGTCACTCACGATAAAAGAATATAACTACGCACTCGCATAATTCCTGCAAATTACAATCGCATAATTCCTGCAAATTACAATCGTATATGAGTTTCAACTTTCAAGGATTTCATCCTCAACAAGTTTCATTTCATATACACACAACAATCTAGATTTCTCAAGTGCTCTCTGCCTACTCTTTTATCTTTTCTTGCAAAAGCTTATTAGGTCAAATCTCAGCCAGTTGTTGATAGCGTAGTGACTGCACGTTGAAGGGGTTATCCTGTTGATTTTTAATCTCAAAAGGCTAAGACACATTAATAATTTATACAACTATAAGGTTTAGTGGATGGATTATACGAGACATATTACATGATTATGATATCAAAAACTACAGAATTAAGCATACACATTCTGCCTCTTTCACAACTCAATTGTATCCCTTCCCTACACAGTTAAGACAGCGTTGTACCCTGCAAAATCCCATGAAAAAAGCATCAAAACACCACTCAAGCATTTTAATCTTTTCAATAAGAAGAGAAAAATGTAAACTTAATTCTGGCTGAAGACGCTAACCCAAAAATTCATTGCCAAATTGTAGCAACATGAGGAGGAGAAAGAAAGAATAAAAGCAAGCAGTATCAGTGTTCACTAACCCATTTCCATCGCAGGTTGGGCAAAGACAGGGGTTGATGGCAATTGGGTCATACAGAGGCGACCATTCAATGGTATTATTCCCTTTGCATAGCTTGCATATGTAAAACCCTTTCCCTCTACAAACCCCACAAGGCATCGCAATCTTTCTCTGCCCAAAACCCACCAAAAAAACGAATGATAAGAGAGCAATTTAGCAAACAAAAGGAGATGAAAGTTGGAAACGTAAAGATGCCAAGGTGGGTTTTTGGTCTTCTTACCCTTTTGGATTCGGTGGCCAACCGAAGCGCTCCAATAGTGGCAGTGGAAGCCAAATTCAGTGTGAAAAATCCGCTGACGAGTACGGCAGCAACTGTGCACACGGTGCGCAGTGGCTTTGGAATCATTTTTACAGGGTTGGAGTTTCGCAGGGTCGATTTCTCAAACAGTTGGAGAGCATGGAGTCAATTCCATGAAGCTAAGGCTAAATTCCCAGGTAGACCTTTGTGCTCATGAAGCGGGCCGTAGAAGACAACAGAGGCCCGTTTGGTTTGCTATCCGATGCTTCTATTAGATCAGCCCCACCCGGCCCACGGAGGGGACCCGTTTCAATTTGGAATGCGCGGCACACTGGCACTGGTATGGGACCTCCTACGCTTTTTATGTTTGGATTGCCATTGTTCTGTTTTTATTTTATTTTTTCCTTTAATTAAATTAATGTATTTGGAGTTTTTATTAAACCAAAAAATGATACCCTTCAGGATTATTGGTAAGCTTTTAAGTTAATCTCGAGTACATATATATCTAAGGGATAATGCTAGGCTTACCACATTTTTATACCACATTGTGTATCACCTCTCTAATAGAGTCTACTGATACAATGAGGCCCACCTTTATTAGAGAGGTGGTACACAATGTGGTATAAAAATATAATAAGCCTAGCATTTTCCATATCTAAATATGGAATAAATGTCGTTATTTGTGTTTTTAACACGAGTGAGAATTTAAACATAAAATGTGATGGATCTTTAACATTTGTGTTTAAAGACTTTATAAAAATAATAATAATTATGAGCACAGGTAGGGGAGAAACTAAAAACAAGATGTTAGACTTTTGAGAATATGATAATGATAATATCAATGCTAAAGATTCGTGCACATAACGTTGGCCAAGAAATAGTGAACAATTTCTTGGATTTTAAAGGGACTGCTGGTCTCCTTGGTTAGGAGTGAGGTCAACAATGTTTATTCCTTCGTTTGGACTATAGGATTTTTTTGAAAAAACAAAATTAAATCTCCATTAGGCTGTAATTCTGTCATCATTTCAATTCCCCAAACATAAGTTTCCAACATCATTTCAGCGAAAAGGGAACGAAACCGGAGCAACATCATTCACCAAACCATAAGTTCCCAACTTCTAGCTCTCAATTTCACTTCACAGAAACCGTACTCCAAAGAATTGTTAGAAGTCTACCATTTTGAATATTTTTTTAAAGTCGACTCTCATTTCTGATTATGGTGCATCAAGAAATGTTGTCACTAGTATAAAAAGCCTCATGACAACTTCGACTCGGATCATACTATTGCTGTCTCTCTTTAATCTGTTTAACATGAAACCATGGAGAGCATTTTCTGTTGTATTCTGTATCTTCAGCTGCTTCTTTGTGTGCTTATCTCATGCATCAGATTCCCTCAGGCATAGACAGTATTTATATAGAAATGAAACCTTGGTTTCTACTGGTGGAGTGTTTGAGCTAGGCTTTTTTAGCTCCCATGCTTCACCAAATGGATACTTGGGAATCTGGTTCAAGAATGACAAGAACCAAAAGCCGGTTTGGGTTGCAAATAAAGATAGCCCCCTTATGGATTTCCCAGGAGTACCGGGTTCCTCAGGAGTATTTCACACCATCAGGTATGATGGGAACATGGTGATTAGTGATAGAAGAAATATTCCGTTTATTCTGAATTATGGAGCACTTGCATCAAGCAATAACACACGTGCAATAATTCGTGACTCGGGAAATCTAATTCTCATGGAAGGAGAAGAGATTTTGTGGCAGAGTTTCTATTATCCGACGGATACGTTTCTTCCTGGAATGAAATTGGGCTTGTTTAACATGAATACTGAGCAGTTGAGGAAACAGTTTCTAGTATCCTGGTTTAGCACATCTGTCCCTGCTGATGGTTCTTATGCTTTGGGCATTGATCCTGTAAACAATACTCAGTTCAATGTCTGGCGCAGTGATGGTGCTTACCAACAGATTGGCTTGTGGGATGGCCATGAATTTAAGTTCTTCTTCCAAAGCACATCAGATAATCTCAATTTCAGCTTTGTTTGGAATAGCAATGAGATTTATCTTACTTTTAACAACAAAAACACTAGCATGCCTTCATGGTTTGTGTTAACCTCAAATGGGGAGATTGATGAGTTCAGGATGGTAGGGCAGGAAATTGAGATTGTGGATTATTCACTATGTGATGACACGATGGCACGCAGTTCTAATGGCTGTTTGGTGGCGATGCCATCAGCATGCTCAGGCGGAGATAATTTCTCAAACACCAGAGGATCACTGCCGAGTTCAATGGTTTTAAGCTGGCCAATTCGTATAGATCCCTATGACTGCGAGATATTGTGCAGGAACAATTGTTCATGTGTTGCATATGCAAATGCTTCATTGCAAGATGAAGGAACTCTATGTCAACTTTATTATGGAAATAAAAGCGATCTTCTGAAACTGGTAGGGACAGGAAACAGCACTGTTTATGTGCGTGGTAATGCTTCTAAATCCGGTAAGCTTTCACCTTTACTCAAACTTCGATGATAATAAGAAGAAACACTGTATTTTTTATTCATTTTGAATGGCTTCAAAGTTTTTAGATGGTAAGATGTGAACACCCTCTCTTTTTCTCTACCTAAAATATGAGAAAGAGCTTTTTTTCTTTCCCTCAGATAGGAAGCTGTTGGTTGTCACAGTTATGGTGATTCCCTTGGTATTCTTCATTTTGATCTTATTGCTGCATTGTTTATGGAGAAAGTTTAACTCTTTAGGTACGTTAACCAAACTGAGTTGGCGAACATATACTAAAACTTTGCCAAATTAAATATGTTGCGTGGACTTATTTCTCTGTATCAACAACAGGAATTTATGGCTTCCATAATGGCATGAGAGACAGTATGAGGTTATTATTGTTGCAGTTGAGCTCTGATAATAATGCAAGCAGTCCCAATGTTATAGAACTTGGAACGAAGAAGGATCATGAGTTGCCATTTCTTAGCTTTTCCTTCATAGTGACATCCACCAATAATTTCTCTCTTGCAAATAAGCTTGGACAAGGTGGTTTTGGGCCTGTTTATAAGGTGTGTGCAGAACTAACAATAAGGCATATGGTGTGACAGGTTTTATTGATTTCTCTTTTTGATCATTTATATATATTGATAATCTGTCATATTAGATTCAAAGTTTCTATGGAAAAAAATTTAAAAACCAGTATCTGCTCTTTGTTGCAGGGTAAGTTACTAGAACATGACATTGCAGTCAAAAGGCTTTCCAAAAATTCTAGACAAGGACCGTTGGAGTTCAAGAATGAGGTGCAGTTAATCTCTAAGCTCCAGCACAGAAATCTTGTTAAGCTTTTGGGTTGTTGCATTCACCGAGAAGAAAAGATATTAATCTATGAGTACATGCCCAACAAAAGCTTGGACTCCTTCATTTTTGGTTTGTAATTTCATCTATGCCCATTCCCCATCTTATTTTTGGCTGTCAGTTTCTCTCATGCTGTTGAAATTGCAACTCATGCAGATCCGACAAAGCGAAGACTATTGAATTGGACCCAGCGCATACACATAATTGAAGGGATTGCTCAAGGGCTTCTTTATCTTCACAAGTACTCTAGATTAAGAATTATTCATCGAGACCTGAAAATTAGCAACATCTTATTGGATGCTTATATGAACCCCAAGATATCAGACTTTGGCTTGGCTAGAATTTTATCTGGGAATGAATGTCGAGCCAAAACAAATCGGGTTGTTGGAACATAGTAAGTAACTTCTGTATGTTTATACGCACAGGTAGATTTAGTCATGCCTGCATTAATGTATTTTAAACATATGCTTGTCATGCAGGATATCCTTTTGATAAAACTCAAATGACTCTTTTTCCCCTTGTTTGAAACCAGCGGTTATATGTCTCCTGAGTATGTGATGCACGGCCTTTTCTCAACAAAGTCTGATGTATTCAGCTTTGGAGTCATTGTGTTGGAGATTGTAAGTGGCAGGAAGAATGCAAACTTTCATGAGTCAGATCATTCTTTGAACTTACTAGGACATGTAAGTGGCAACACCTGGCTTCTGAATTTATTATTTTCTCATGCCCCTGTTTATTTTATCTAAGGTGTTAAAATGTGAAAATTGTTGAAGGCATGGAATTTATGGAAATCTGAGCGATGCGTGGAGTTGATGGATTCGACATTGGCCGATTCAAGTTCAACGGATAGCCTTGCGCTCTGCATTCAGGTGGGACTTTTATGTGTCCAAGATTGTGCAGAAGAGAGGCCAACCATGTCAGATGTTGTTTCAATGTTCAGCAATGAAGGGGCAACTTTGCCTACGCCTAAACAGCCTACATATTCTAACTTAATGACAGAGGTTGATAAACCATTAAGACATGAAGTGCATTCTGAAAATCTTTTGACATTTTCAGCCATGGAAGCACGATAACAACGTCAAACTTGTATGTTCTAGTTTATGTACAGATGGATTGCCTTTATAGTTCATGTTCCTGTTCATGTACAGATGGATTGCTCAAGTTTTGATCCAATCCACATTGTTGCTGAAATTTATCCACTTGCAGTGAAATTTCTGCTTCTTAACAAATCAACTTTTTCTTAAGAAACCACAAGGGTTTTTGAACTTTTGCATTCATTTCCTATAATTGTGTATGCCTTATGCTGCGGGGCTGTCAGGTTGGCCATATTTTTCTGAGTGTATGATCTGTACATTATTGAAGGAGTGGAGCTCACAGTTATACAATGACATTTGATTGTTTCCAATCTCCTCAAATGTTGTTGTTTTTTTCTTTCTTTCTCATTTTGTTCAACTTCCTTGTTAACTCTCTTCTCTCATCTCACTTTTCTGTTGTTTCTAATCCATATATATATATACTAAATCTCCAAGGCATTACCCTGCAGCATTAATTTTGTGGGCTTTGACTTTAATTTTGCATTTGTTGGTTAAAGAAATGAATCAAATCTCTTCAATATGATAATTCACTAAAGGGGTCTAGTACAGTTAAAAAAGGCATTGACTTGTAGACCAGAGGTCTTGGTTGTGCGTGTTAAAAACCATTTCCCTTTCGCTTGTACTTTAAAAAAATATATATAATCATTCGCAATGATGACTGGTATTTTGGCCCTATCCCTAATAATATAATGAAAATCCAACTTTCATGCAATACAAAACACCACCAAACAATTAAACAGAAAAATTAAAGTCTTCACTAATCAACTCTTGTATTCTAGCCAACAAAACAATGTTGTTGGGTAACTTGGATACTTTTATGAGTGAGGGGAGAAGAACGTATGGGCAAGTGATGGAGCTTTGAGTCTTCCTATACATATGCTACTCTGTAACCCTGCCATTTTTGCTAGGCCTGCTGCCTGAAACTGAAACCAAAAACTGAAAGTGATAAGATCCTGTGGAGAATTTGAAGGAAAGGCGCAAAGGGATAAAATACAAGTTATTTTTAAATATGAAATGTGCAGAGGAACAATTCAAAGGATTTCTGAAAAAGTTCAAATTCCATTCAAATGGGCAGGGGGGACAAGATTTGGTGCCATCCTCCTAAATATCATACCCATCTTCCATTTTTCTCCTCATGAATAATATTTGTTCCATTTTCTTTAAAATTTCATTAATGGTTTTGTGAACAAATAATATGATAAAATAAACAGTGCTTATGGTCCCACAAGATCAACACCATGGAATGGGGTAAGTAACAACAAGTCCAGAATCACACTGATTGGGTGATCTTTGTTGTCTGATCTAAAGCTAAAAGGTGGGAATATGATGTCTTTCTAGGGTGGCATTCATGAAATCAAAGATTATATGCATTATTAAATGGGATAAAGTAATTATGCAAACAAGTGCGCTCGTGTACGATTTTTGTCCGTTGATTGTTGTGAGACTCACATTTGATTTGATCAACGTTTAAAAATCGCCCGATGCAACAATTAAAAAAATTATAATATGCAGAGGACTCAATAAACTGTATGATTTATCTATATATATAAAGCAAAAGGCAGAGAATGATGAAACATTCAAAATACCAGAAAATGCCCTTAATTAATGCAAACATTAAGAATTGAAATTATTAATTAAATGAGGATAATATGGTAAATTCATACTTTTTCATATTACAAAAAATTAAAATTAAAAGAAAATTCAGATAATGGATCCTATTTTTATGGAACACAAATACTCATTATCTTTTTTACTTCTAAAATAAATTTAAATTTTTTTAAAAAAAGCCTCTTGCAAGTGTGAAAGCGCGTGCGAAGAGGCTAGTATTAATAATATTGCTAGGCTCCTGAAAGTGGTATTTAAGTTGCACTTGGCTTGGACCCAATACAGGTCCCCTACAATCTACATGGGTTCACATGCATGACAAGAATATCATAACACGTATTAAGGCAGAGGATATAAAGGTCCAGCCACGTACCCAAGAATGAGGTGGATATGAACTTGAGGCACGGGTATTTGGTGCACCCACCAACTTTCCTCTGATTCATGGCATGGGAGCCAACGGGCCATGGATTGTCTGCTAATTTACCAAAAACTCCCTCACTTTTCAAAGTAACTACTAACTACCATTCCATTCCAGAGCAGAATGCAACTTTGACTGGTTGATATATAAATAAGACCAAGAAGAAGAAAAGGAAGTTGACTGACTGGTTGATAACAGTGCAATGCAAGTAGCAGTTCTATACGACATGTCGTTTGGGCCAGGCGTGGGTTGGGAACTTTTATCATGGTTCTTGAAAAACGGTGTACTACGAGCTTTTAACAGGAAAAGAACCAAAGCCTTTTGACCGTCAGAGTTGGGAAAGGCACATTTGTGGAGCGAAAATAACAAAAATGCCACCAACTGAAGAAATACAAATATATATTATATACGGCAGCAGAGTGCAGAGTGCAGAGAGAGAGAGAGAGAGAGAGAGAGAGAGGCAAAATGACCTATACAGACTACAGTCTACAGTCTACACACACAAGTTACAACTAGTTGGATTCTAAAGACATGATGAATATCATAAAATAGTCACTTCCATGCAAGACTTTTATATAAATATCAGAAGTTGACAAGGTAAATAATGAATTTACAAGTTACAATGCCGTGTTTGGTTGGGTGTTTTTATAAGATGAAACATGCGTCAACCATTTATTTTGGAAGCCGCTTTTGAAAACAAAGCATAGTGGTTGTGTCAGCTGAGATAAGCATGCCTAGAACAACATCAAAACTAAAGCTCTTTATTTGCTGCAGTCTTTTGCTTGGTTGAGCTCTGCTGTAGAAATCCTGCAAATAGCAATGCTGATGCTGATGCTGGTGCAGAAGAAATTTCCAAAAGTGATTTCAAATTAATTGATTTAATACCAAAATAACCATCCTCTGGATCCCCTTTCTATGTATCTTTTGGGGGAACCCCACATGATTCATCATAAAGTAAAAACAATGGCAATGTTGTGAAATTCTGTGGAAGCAGAGGCATATACATATGACTTTTAATTTGCTGCCCAAAACATCAATTGGGGCTTAAGTTTAAACTAAAAAAATTTGGTATCTTTATTAGCAAAAGTAGCACTTTGTAGCCTTGTTTGTTTGAATCTGTTATAAAAAGCCTGATAAAGCAAACAGAACAGAACTCACAAACACAACACACAACACACAAACACATACATGCTCTCTCTGCTTCTTCAAAACACTATCATCAATGGCAGCCATAACAACCAGGGATGAATCGGACTATGATAGCAGCTGCTCATCCATAACCGTGCCGGACTCGAGCCGGAGCTGGATGAGCAACCTGAGCTTCAGCAGCCGCCGCCGGAGCTCAGTCTCCGTCTGTTCCTCTGCCACTGAAGCATCTCTGTTTTCCTCTGCTCACAAGCCCCACAAGGCTAACCAAGCTGCATGGGAAGCCATGAGGCGGCTCAGGAGCACCAAAGGCCGAGTTGGGCTCGACCATTTTCGGCTCCTGCGCCGCCTCGGCAGCGGTGACATAGGCAACGTGTACCTTTGCCAGATAAGGAACCCTGTGGTGGGTTTGCCTCAGTGCTTTTATGCCATGAAAGTGGTGGACAGAGAAGCACTTGCTATAAGGAAGAAACTGCATAGAGCTGAAATGGAGAAGGAGATTTTGGACATGCTTGATCACCCTTTTCTGCCTACTCTCTATGCTGAGTTTGATGCTTCTCACTATTCTTGCTTGGTTATGGAGTTTTGCCCTGGCGGTGACTTGTATGCCGCTCGACAACGCCTGCCCGGAAAATGCTTTAGCATCTCATCTGCTAGGTAAAAATCAAAATTTGTTTCGCTAATTAATCTTAGTTTAGTTGTACTCGAAAAATGTTATCTTGTCGGACAGTATGTTATGTTGTGTTAAACCAGCAATTAACGACTGTCATTATTATTATTGTTAAATACTATATGATTTCTTAATTTTGAGGAAGTTAAGGAGTGCTAATTACAATGTTGGGATGAATTAAACACAGGTTTTACGCGGCAGAGACGCTGTTAGCTCTAGAGTATCTACACATGATGGGGATTGTTTACAGAGACTTGAAGCCTGAAAATGTGCTGGTTAGAGAGGATGGTCACATCATGCTTTCAGATTTTGATCTGTCTCTCAAATGCGACGTCGTTCCAAAGTTGCTAAGGCGCAAAATGGACTTAGAATCCAACCAAAAGAATGTAAAGAGCTCCTCAATGCCATATTGTGTTGCAGCCCCCATGCAGCCTGTGCTCTCTTGTTTCTCTGCCTCAAACAAGAAAAAGAAAGGAACAGTCACAATCATAACAGAACAAGTTGGTGCTGATAATAATCATGATCATAATGATGATGATCATCATCAAGAACTTGACCCGGAAATGGTAGCCGAACCGATCGAAGCCCGGTCCAAGTCATTTGTGGGGACACATGAGTACTTAGCACCAGAGGTGATCTCAGGGCAAGGACATGGAAGTGCAGTGGATTGGTGGACATTTGGGGTGTTCTTGTATGAAATGTTATATGGGAGGACACCTTTCAAAGGTGAAAACAATGAGAAAACCCTGATTAACATTCTTAAGCAGCCATTAAGGTTTCCAAGAGTTGGGGTTAGCAGCAGCAAGGAGTTTGAAGAGATGGTCAAAGTTCAAGATCTTATAAGCAAGCTTTTGGTGAAGAATCCCAAGAAAAGAATTGGCAGCTTAAAAGGGTCAGTTGAGATCAAAAGGCATGATTTCTTTAAGGGTGTGAATTGGGCTTTGATTAGGTCTGTTAGGCCTCCTCATGTCCCTGCTGCTAATAGTGATTTGCATAATAAGATTAGAAATAGGGCTTACTTGCCTAAGTTAAGCAAGAAGGAGAGAGATGAACCATTTCAGATCCCTCATCATGTTGATTATTTCTAATTGCTTAGAATGTAAATAGGTAAAGCAGAAAGCAAAGTAATTTTCATGCTTGACACCATAGAAACTAAGATTTTTCCTCTGTTTTTCCTACTAATTAATGAGAATTATGATTGTTATAATGTACAATATATTAGTCACTCTGCTACAATGCTAATTACTCTGTCTTCTCTCTCTTTTCTCTCTCTGTGTATATGGAAGTATAGAATACAGAGAGAGAAAAGAAGTTTGTGTAAAAGTAGAGGATCCCATAATTGTCCCAATGGGATTTCCATGAGAAGTCTATGAAGTCATGTGAGGACAATAATTACTCTTGTCAATGATGGAAAGAATTATAATAAAAAAGAAAAATGGAATGATATATGCTTCTTTTTTTAACTTTTTACGAAAATGGTCTACTTTTTGCATATGGGCACTTTCATCTCCACGCATTCACTTCACATGCACTTTTTCACCAAGAAAGCCATCATGCTTCCTCGCTTCTTTTTGTTCTTCTGATATTTTTTATCATGTAAAGGGCAACCTTCTTTTTTCCTTTTCCCCATATCCATCTCACCACTTTCTGTTATTAATAATCTTACTGATCAAACATGTACGATTAGAGAGAGAGAGAGAGCAACTTCAACCAATACCAATCAGACCACATGACTCATGAAGCTAGTCTCAAAACAGAATGCTTCACAAAGCAGAAGGTCTTCAGTGCTCAGACAAATCTACATTTTGATTCAATCCAGTCATTTATACGCAGACAATCTTCCCAACTTGGGTTCTATCTGTTTTCATCCAAAAAAAGAACAGGGGAAAAAGAAAAGACATGAGATTCTTATAATCTTGTCATTATATATGAACTATATGAAGCTTCCTAATTATAATCTTCTCCACATATCAGACTTATACTAACCTTCCATCTGCAATTTTGACACACCCAAAAAAAAAAAAAAAAGCAAAAGAAAAAAAAGGAGACCAGTTTTCATCTGTTTTAGTATATGCACCCAAGCACAGAAACTAGGCATTTGATTGGGGGTCATGATCACAATCGCATTGCTAGCTGTACGTATCTGAGGATATAAGAATTTGTGTATGTCATGTCAGTGTGATGTGCTAGCTAGCTGCATATATAGTGTAAATATATGTAAAGCTTTTGGGAGGGGCTCACTAAGTCAACGTTATGTGCATGAAGGGTCAATAGAGGTTTCATTGGCTTTCAAGAGCTTCCCGTTTTGTCTACACCATTGATGGAAATTCAGACTGTGCAGGCCTCAGTATTTTGTAGTAGCACGCGCATGCAACTTGCAAAATATATATCTCTCACATCACTGTCCTTGTATTGTATTGCTATGCTATGCATGGGCCTAGCCCCTAGCTAGCTTAGCTATCGGCTTCATCAAACAGGTAAGAGAACAAGAAAGTAATTATACATATACTCATGAATCATGATGTATATTTGATATGTGTTAGCAAAATTTTATGATTGCTCGATTTCAGAAACCCATCATATCATGCATATCCACAAAGACAAACCAACCAGCTGCATATACATGTAAACTTTCATCTAATTCTCTGTTGCTTTTTGGGTTTCTGCATGCTGTTTGGTTCAAATTCATGCAAAACTTTGGCAACCATTGAACCAAGTTCCTGAAATGAAGTGTTTCTACACCAAGGCACTGGGAACTGTCATGGCCAAAAGACCAAATAATTGAAGGGAAGGTGTGTCATCGTACCATTTCTCTCGGAAAATTAAAATCAGCTAAGAATTCATCACGCATATATATATATATATATATATCCTGCACATCATGCTGAAATTAAAAGTGAAATTATATCTATAGTGTATTTCATTTTGATTTTGCTACTCAAACTCCCTTTAGCCAACGCATCATTGTCGTGATTAGACAAGCCGCCTTTTCTCATGGCTTTCCCACCTCCGAAAGAATCATAAATATAATTCAGAAATCATTTAACAATTCTACAAACATTGTATAGTGTTTCCTTAATTATGATGACTTTCAATGACAAGAAGAAACCTTGACTTGATGTACCAAATTAATCCTTGTTTTTTACATATTCTTGGTTTCTAGCGCACATTATTCGCTTGACCATCAAGCATGATCTTATTCATTAGGATGTGGGGACCAAAATATTAATCAGTGTAACCAACCCCCAAAAAAAAGTTGCATATATAATTTGAGTTCAGACAATTACAATCGACAATATTAAGAGATGGTCTTCACCATCATCAGATCAGATGCCATCATGAGTTTATTCATTGAATCCTTAGATTGTGAAAACCATAATGACAATGGGATGCTAGTACTAATTTGAAACCATAATGACAATAGGATGCTAGTACTAATTTGCAATAGATTTGATACCGGGAAATACTCATCTCCTTCTCTAGAAGTAGGACCAATCACAGTTTGAATGACTCCTTTCAAGGAAGAAGGCAATGTCAGTATAATACCAGGGTTTAGGGTCTTTAACTCAAATACGGAGAAAATGAACTTTATTAAACATAAACCAATACAATTCACAATCCTGCTAATGCACAATTAATCAACTAAATAGTTAATTGCAAGCTAGAGATTATCTCGGCTAACTCAGCTGATGTGAGTTAGCAATATTAATTGAAACCCAAGTTCCTATTAGATAAAAATTTAATTATTTATTAATTAAGTTTATATTCACTAAATATTCAAATAATATTTCTTCAAAGCGGATATTTTTTTTTCTTACATAATAGAGGCGAGCCCAAGAGATTAGCTGAGAATATATTTCATTAGTAACCTGGCATTATTACTCGTGTATAAATATAAGATAGATGCATAGCATAAGCCTAGGTGAGGTGAGTCCCACATATATATATATCTTAATACATTCAAAGCACAACTTTGTCTTTGGTCAACCTATCACAAACTTAATTTTAGGTTTGTCCGTACAAGTATATCTCATCACATATATACATGTGCACTAAGAATGTTGCACTTGCATGTGCCTAAAATTTACAAAAACAACAATCGCAATCATGATGTCAAAACCATCTTTAATTAATACTTAAGGAAGAGAAACTCTCAACAAACAACTATTACTTTCCAATATATTTTCATGCTCTTCGTTTGGGGAAGACTGAAACACACTTTGAATAAAAATAAAATGGAGCTACCATCCATAGCTAAGCCTTAGCTTAGGTAGCTATGTTTGGACCATCTTTGCCATTTGATTGATTATTTTTAGAGTAATGCTATTTGGACACACAATATTGACACATTTAGTGACACCCGTTGATGTGTTAATGTATTATTTGCTCTTCTTTTCTCCTCGTTTTCTGTTCAGCGAATGATACATTGACACATCAACGGATGTCAACTAAGTGTGTCAATGTTGTGTGTCCAAATAGCATTACTCTTATTTTTATAGCGTGACTGTAGATTGGTACTCAGAATCAAACCTTTTTGTTTTTTTGTTTTTTTTGACCTTTTAACTTTATGTAGTCATTGGTTAACGCTTGGAATGTTGTAATTGGACATTTGAGTTTTATGAGGTTTTGATTTGAGTTGGTAGAAAATATAATATAATTTATATGCATACTGCCTTTGCCTTATTTCAATGAGGTGAGATAAAACTATAAGTAATTTTTTTCCAAAAGTTAGGAAAGGGGAGAGGGAAAACTCACACATACGGGTATCACGCGGATTTGAACCCGCGACTACTTAAAAGCACATCAAAATCTTGAATCAAATAAGTTAATGTTAATTTTCCACAAAGGGAAAGATGAACAAATTAAACCACTACCCCACAGTAGTCTCTGTGGCGGTGCAATACAGGCAATATATGAATGAAACCATTGCCCCACAGTAGCCACCCACTCAAGAGGAAAACCATGAACTGATGAAAAGAAAACCCATCTGATATTTTGAATGCTACTGTCTGCAACAGAAGTGATCTGAGCCCTTCTTTTAGGACACCTGTCCCAATCTGATGAACAGTTTGAGTTTTAAGGCAATGCAACCAAAGCACTTGGAAGGGCTACCCATGGTTTTGGGGCATCTTTGTCCCAAACCACTTGCAGATATGCAGTTTTCACTCCCCCAAAAGTCGAGAGAAAGTGACTTAATATTATTATTAATACTACACCACCTCATTAATAAAATATCTCACAAACTTGAAAAAATAAATACTCATATATTTGGCAACACCAAATGGATAATATGTGCAGTGCAGATCTCGAACCCCCCCTGACCTGATCAATGAGTAGGTGAACTTACACTGCTAACCTCCAACATCACTTGGAAATATCCAGATTCCTTGACAAAACCATGGGCATGTGGGGAATAAATAAAAAGCCGAAGAAAAAGAACAAACCAACCATAAACAACATAGGTGAAACTGAAAACAAGTGACTCTGACCCCAGAATTCAGTGAAACCATCTAACTCTCTCACAACATCTGTACACTCTGTGTCTCTTTAGTCTCAACCAGCTCTGCACCTAAATCCATTATAAATATCCACCCAAATCTACCATTTCCAATTCATCCGAGCTCTCAAAAACCTTCTCACATATTCATTTCTCTCTCTAAAACTACCATTTATTCATTTATCTCTTACAAATTACAATGGCAAAAAATGTGGCTCCTCAGTCTCCCTTTGAGAAGAACAGCCTGACCTCAATTGATCAGCTGGCCTTGGCTAAGCGCTGCTCTCATGGTATCTTCATCTTCATGCTTGCCTTCTCTTCCCTTCTGACCAACTTATTATTGATTTGTTTATATTAATTCATCTTGGTTATATATAAATTTATAGCATGATGGTGTGTGAAAGTCATCATGAGAATTGAGAGTCCTATGAATTGTATCTACCTCTTACCTTGAGCCTCTACAAAGCATATATATATATATATATATACTTGCAGACTGAATCTCTGATATGCTAATTATGTGATTAAGATTTTGTGTTTCATAGATACTCTCCTCACTCATGCTCTTGCTGACAAATGCTAATATATGTAGCACATAAAAAGGGCTTTTTCTTGTTCAGATCAAAATGGAAAAAGTATAGGGCCACCTTTTTTTGGAGGGCCCAAGATTCTTCTGGAAATGTAATTATTTTTTCCTTTTTTTTTTAATGGAATATCAGAGGGTGTGAAAGCAGGAGCCAAGGCAGCTGTGGTTGCTACCATTGCCACTGCCATTCCAACTGTAAGGACATTCCATGAAATTACATCCCTTTGCTGCAAACCGTCAAATAAACCTCGAGCTGTGTCCAAAGCACCACACTTTGCGTACATATCAATAAGTCCATTAACAAGCCGAAGATTTGAACCAAGTCCACGGTTCTCAATCCAAGACCCAACCCATTTGCCCAATTCAAGAGACCCCGACTGAGCACAAGCTGAAAGCACCACGACCATTGTACTCTCATTGGGCGAGACATTTGCTTTCCGCATCTCCGAAAACAAAGCCAATGCCTCTTCAAACCGACCGCTTTGAGCATAACCCGAAATCATAGCATTCCAAGACACCACATCTCTTACCGGAATTTCATCAAAAAGGTGACGAGCATCATCCATACAACCCCTTGAAACATAACCAGTGATCAAGGCCGTAAATGAAACCACATCTCTGAAAGAACTTTTATCAAACACCAAACGTGCATTATCCAATTCACCGTTTTGAGCATACATATTGATAAGAGAAGTGTGCACAAAGGCATCAGAGTCAAGTCCAAGCTTCAAAACATGTCCATGGATCTGTTTCCCTTCATGGCTCGCCGCGAATTTCGCACAAGACTTCAAAAGAAAAGGGAACGTATAAGAATTCGGCTCCACGCCAGAAAGAAGCATCAGAACATAGAATTCCACAGCTTGTATTGGCTTAGAGCTCAAGGAAAAACCTCGAATAATTGTGTTCCATATAATCTGATTGGGGTTCTCGATGGATTGAAAGACTAAGAGGGCATAAGAGAGGTCTCCGAAAGGCGAAACGGCGCAAAACTCAACGAGCTTGCTCAGAGCGAAGTGGGTATTGTGAAGGCCACTCTTGATAATGTGGGCGTGGACTTGTTTGAGATTTTGCATGCTTTTGCATTTGGAGAGTAGGGTGAGAGATGGGTGGGTTTGGAGGAGTTTGTACGGAGGATCAGAGGTTGGGAGGACATGGAAAATGGAGGGTAAAATGGGCAATGACAGTAATGAAGAAGAGGAAAACACCATGGCTGAGCAACTTCGAGTTGGAAAAATAGAGGGATAAGGTTTGAAATGCAGTTAGTGGCTTAGTTAGGATTACCCGCCAAAAATAACTGCAATGAGTCTTCCTAAAAATATTGACTAATTATCCTGCATAGATGTTAGATAGCAGCACATAAGCCCCAGCATTTTCAGGCTCCAATTCAAACAGATGTTTGGCAACAAGTTCACCCAGCTCCACACGCCTGTGGATCCTACAAGCTCCAAGAAGAGAACCCCAGACAGCGCCATCTGGCTTCATTTCCATGCTATTCATTAGGGCCTCTGCTTCATTAAATAATCCGGCTCGGCCTAGAAGATCTATCATGCATCCATAGTGTTGCAATTGTGCTGAAATATGGTAATCTGTGATCATGGAACTAAAATACTGGCGTCCAAGGTCTACAAGACCACCATGGTTACAAGCAGATAAAACTCCCACAAATGTTATTTCATCCGGTTTGAATCCTTCATCGGCCATTTTCGAGAAAAGCTCGAGCGCTGTATGTGCATGCCCGTGCATGGCTAAGCCAGATATCATTGCATTCCAAGAAGCCAAGCTTTTGGCTTCCATACCATTAAAGACTTGTTTTGCTGCCTCAATGTTTCCGCATTTTGCATACATGTCAATGAGACTCGTCCAGAGAGAGGTATTGGTAAAACTCTGAAAGTTCTTATCTATATAAGCATGAATCCACTTGCCAAGGTCAAGAGCTCCTAAATGAGAACAAGCTGGAAGAATGCCTAAGAATGTGACATCATTAGGATCTGCATTTGATCGTAGCATTAACCGAAAGAGTGCCAAGGCTTCTTTGTAGTGGCTCTTATGTGTATAACCACCAATCATGACATTCCATGAAATTACATCCCTTTGCTGCAAACCGTCAAATAAACCTCGAGCTGTGTCCAAAGCACCACACTTTGCGTACATATCAATAAGTCCATTAACAAGCCGAAGATTTGAACCAAGTCCACGGTTCTCAATCCAAGACCCAACCCATTTGCCCAATTCAAGAGACCCCGACTGAGCACAAGCTGAAAGCACCACGACCATTGTACTCTCATTGGGCGAGACATTTGCTTTCCGCATCTCCGAAAACAAAGCCAATGCCTCTTCAAACCGACCGCTTTGAGCATAACCCGAAATCATAGCATTCCAAGACACCACATCTCTTACCGGAATTTCATCAAAAAGGTGACGAGCATCATCCATACAACCCCTTGAAACATAACCAGTGATCAAGGCCGTAAATGAAACCACATCTCTGAAAGAACTTTTATCAAACACCAAACGTGCATTATCCAATTCACCGTTTTGAGCATACATATTGATAAGAGAAGTGTGCACAAAGGCATCAGAGTCAAGTCCAAGCTTCAAAACATGTCCATGGATCTGTTTCCCTTCATGGCTCGCCGCGAATTTCGCACAAGACTTCAAAAGAAAAGGGAACGTATAAGAATTCGGCTCCACGCCAGAAAGAAGCATCAGAACATAGAATTCCACAGCTTGTATTGGCTTAGAGCTCAAGGAAAAACCTCGAATAATTGTGTTCCATATAATCTGATTGGGGTTCTCGATGGATTGAAAGACTAAGAGGGCATAAGAGAGGTCTCCGAAAGGCGAAACGGCGCAAAACTCAACGAGCTTGCTCAGAGCGAAGTGGGTATTGTGAAGGCCACTCTTGATAATGTGGGCGTGGACTTGTTTGAGATTTTGCATGCTTTTGCATTTGGAGAGTAGGGTGAGAGATGGATGGGTTTGGAGGAGTTTGTACGGAGGATCAGAGGTTGGGAGGACATGGAAAGTGGAGGGTAAAATGGGCAATGACAGTAATGAAGAAGAGGAAAACACCATGGCTGAGCAACTTCGAGTTGGAAAAATAGAGGGATAAGGTTTGAAATGCAGTTAGTGGCTTAGTTAGGATTACCCGCCAAAAATAACTGCAATGAGTCTTCCTAAAAATATTGACTAATTAGATTTTAAATTAATTTGTTCTCTATGTCAAAAATATTTATCTTTTTTGTTTTGTTTTTGGTCATATATGATTATTTACTTTAAAACCTTTCACATACACTACACATATGTTAGGACTTGAACCATGACCTTTTCTCGAAGAGCAATTGCTCCAAACCACTACACTACTTGGTCATTTGCTATTAGTTCGTTGTTTGGTAAAAAGAAATGAGAATATGTTTTGATTTCCTATTCTAATTAATTTTGGTTTAAGCATGTTGAAGTATATTCTCTAGCCATTGGTTGGTTTATGGTCCTGATTGAATTCTGGAAACCTAACATGACAAATTATCATGCAAGAAAAAATCACTCTAATGTTTCTTGAAATATAAAATGTTTAAAATAAAAATAAAAATATCTGTAAGGGAATTGTAGCTCAAGTAATTAAGAACATTTACCATGATATATGAGATTCGATTCCACCCTCCCAATATGGCTCGTTTGAAAAAACCTAATGACTCAATAATTGATCACTAAGGCCCAAGACCATGAGAGCGTTCTTGAAAGCCCAAAAAAAAAAACCCTTTTTTTTTAATAAAAAGGTTGGAGTCGAAAAATGGAACTTAGAAGTCAAGCCATGTCATTTCATGGTCCATGAATGTCCAAAAGAATGGCTAGCACTCTCATAGTCCCATCATTTGTAACTCTTTTTTTTAATATTGTTTTTGATCAGATATATATATATATATATATATGTATATTTCCATTATTAGTGAGGAAAAGGCAGAAAGGAATTATCTTAATTTGAGTGTGCCACCTCGAAGGGTCCCATATATATCCAACGTGGTATAGGCATGGCAATGATGGCATGGGGTTGGCGTTGGGGGTGAAGCCCAATTCCCCCAATTCATGCAGCATATTATCTTCAAGCATCCTGTATCTATATTTAGACAGGAATAAGGAGACCCAAATTAGTATATTCATATGCTGAAATGTTTGGATGCATTGGTTTTTATTCTTAATTTGCTTGTAGAAAGTTTAATAAACTTAAACCTAGAAATTTACGAAAGCTATCAAAATACCCCAATCCAATCATTACTAACACCCCTTCTTTTTTCACAATTTGATTCCACAAATGACCCTACCAAAAAGATAGCATTCACGAGCCACATTTTATTAATTTTCATGTTCTCTGAAATCTGAATAAAATCGACCAAACACCAAAGGATAGGATATAGCAAAGATAAGAAGAGCTAGCTTTTGAGAATTGATAGGAATTGATGTGTCTTCTATTTGATTAGTGATAAGTGATTAGTGTGTGTTTAAACTAACAATCTAATTAAGACATCGGGACCACGAGATGTAATTAAAGGTTAACTACATTTACAGTGGTGCCTATCTGAAAAATATCAAGCCATCCCATATATGAAAAGGAGATAGAATATTCAAAAATTCCAAAGCCACGGCTATTTTTGCTGGTTATGCATGTCGTTAGGAATTGGGGATATGGGGAAGCTGTGGATTCTCCAAAAGTGTTATATTATTGAGGGAAGATGGCCTCATCCTCCTCCTCCCTTTTGAAATTAGTCACATATTTTTATATGGGGGAATAAAGATTGAAGTGGCGCTGTCTAGGGTTTTTATTTATTTATTATTATTTCACGTGAAATATTCATCATGTCCGGTGAAAATAATGTGGTGATTAGGATTCTTCCTTATCCAATCTCAGGTCAACACGCAAACATATTTTCTGCCACGTCAGATTGCATGGGGCTTGTATTTGCTTGACATGTCAGCAAATGTGGACACTTTGTCAGAGATGGCATGCAAATCTTGATGTGTATAGTTTCATGTGCGCACCCATGAATCATTTACTTGAGCAATATTCTGGTTCTGGATGGATGAGGTTTGTGACGGGTTGCCCACATGGGAGGTAGGGTGGGCGCTGACCCAAGTTGACTTTGGAAAAATGCTTTGGCTCAAATTCACCGCAGTCTAATTAAATATAAAAATAATTGAGAATTGGATCCCAAATGAGTTAATTAACTATATTTTAAGGTGTACACTATAGCATGCCTTAGACTATAATTAACCAATTCATATTCATGCATTAATTCTTCTATATATATGCATGCATGAACTAGAAATAGAAACGAAAATAATAATAATAATATAATATGTATTTATTTTTCACAAGGAATTTGTAACTCAAGTGATTATAAGCAGTTTTTTCTGTACTCGAGATTCTGTGTTCGAATCTCCCTCAACATCGATTGTGTCAAAAGAAAGAAAAAAAGAAGAAGAAGAAGAAACCAGCCTCTTAATTAATTAGGGTTTACAACATGCACCTTTGAATGTTATGTTGCAGTTGAGCAATAGTCCCTCCTAGCCCTGGCTAGACAAGGAAACTCTTAAGTGAAGCACTTTTGTGAAATACCAGGTTAAGGTTCTCCAGCTCATTCTGCATAACCAGCGTCGGTCCGCCGCGATTCGTATTCCATTAAATTTGGTGAAAGCAGTCTCCTTTTTCTCTATTAAAAAGAAAGGTACTGGAAGGCTAAGATTTGCTAGCCATACCTTTGCTTTCTTCAAGATTGATTTCCATACACGTGGCCGACCACCAACTGCTAGGGGATCCCCATGTCACCTCACAAGCACGACTGAGTTTACACATTCTAATGAACCAAAGAAATATTTTTAATTTAATTTACACACCCGTGGATATGACACGAACACATTAAAAGCAACATTATTCTACTTAATTATATTGTTTTCTAATTTATCCATCTAGTTTCACGCGACATGAGTATTAATTAAGATATATATGATCAAACCATATGAAGATTTGGAATGGATATAATTTTACTATTCACAAGCATTAAAAAGAGTGAAAAAAAGAGAGGAGTAATAGTTATAAGTGGATATGAATCTTCGAATGGCATTTCAATTATTGCCAAAAAGGCCAAAAGGGGAATATATGGAGAAGAATTTGACAATGGATGTGCATTTGGTTGGAAGAACTGATTCCAAGTGAAAAACTTTTAGTCTCGGAGGAAAAAGTTGGCTAGTGTTTGGCCCTTTTTGAACTACTTAGGGAAGGTGTATTTGCCATGCCAGATTGGATATTGGAAACTCCTCTTGTGACGCATGTGTGCATGTAAACATCCATCTCCGTTTTGCACGTGAAAACCGATGTGAATAAATTAACAACATATGGGAAATAAATTAAGATGAGCCATGCTTAGATAACACACTTCCCCACCCACCTCTTTAAGTTTGAACATCAACAATATACATATATGTATCAAATGGTCAAAATAATTTATTAACAGTTGTTCAAGTCATGTTGTGTGATGGGTTGATGTGTTACGTAATAATTAGTCATAATAATTAAATTGTGACAAGTACACGCGTTGATCATCTATCGTGTAATAACATTGATTAATGCGGTTAGAAAATGCGATGCTTTTAGCATTACACGAAAAATATATTCCTCCGCGGGCCTCTTTTGTACTTTCAACTTACAAGTAGCAGCTTCCCCTCATAACACCTTCATAAAAGATTGGGGATATACTGTGGACAAGAAGAATAATAGTTCCGAGTGTAGTTTTTGCAATAATGCATGGAGAATAATGTAAAGATGGGGCAGGGCAGGAGGGGTCACTGGTAAATTGTGTGTGCATGCACTGAGGTGATCAACTAGCTAGTTTTTCTCACCTTTACAAACCCACTTGACTACTAACTCCCGAGAGCGATGAAAGTAGCAGAAGTAAGTAAACTAGTTGAGTGTAGAATCCCAACATAAATATGAAGAAACAATCTTAAGAATCCTATACATATGCGTATTAAGGAAAGGAAAAAGGAAAACCCATCTGAAGAAAGCTGGCAGAGAATAAAACAGAGGAACATCCATGGCCCCCCACATATGAAGCCTTCAACAAGTACTATATAAATTTCCCTTACCAATTCAAACAAGATCACCAAACTCATTGAAAAATTAAGATAAACCTCCCTTACCCATTCAAACAAGATCACCAAACTCATTGACAAATTAAGTTCTCTCTTCTGCACCAAGCTATTTAGTACAGACCAAGCAGAGCTTCTACAGTCTTAACACTCTAAGCCTTTACTTACCCTTCAGGTGAGCTCTACCTTCTTCCTTCTGCTTTCTGTTCTGAACTTGACATAATTCCTTCTGTTTTAAACTTCTATTATATAAAGCTTTTATTATTATATATAAAAAAAGGACCTCATAGTGGGTGAAATATTTAAAATGCTGGTTTCTAGCTGATATGCTAATTAAGTCTTATATTAATATTGGATATGCAGGGAGGAATTAAGAATGAGCTGGGCAGGAGGAGATTGGATGTGTGGTGCATGCCAGCACTTGAATTTTAAGAAGCGCGACGCATGCCAACGTTGCGGGTACCCCAAGTATGGTGGCCCTGATCCATCAACTTATATATGCAACAGGACGGAGGTGTTGGCAGGGGACTGGTACTGCAACTGTGGAGCTCACAACTATGCCAGCAGACCCAATTGCTTTAGATGTAGTGCAATGAAAAATGACTATGGCGGTGCCTATAGCATGATGCCTTCTGCTGCCTATGGATCTGATGGCAGTTCCCCACCTGGATGGAAATCTGGTGACTGGATGTGCAATAGGTAAGCAGCAACCTCTCATCCATTCTTTGATTTTGTTCTTGAAAATTAGCCTGCATTGTTCCAAAGGCTATATCACTTTCCTTCTGTGAATAAGGTTCAATTTAATTAGATAAGAAACATGTGTACTGGTAGCTGCTAATGTCATTTCTCTTGAGTTTTCTAATCCGGGGGCATTTTGAATGGAGCAGAGTTGGATGTGGAGTGCACAATTACGCGAGTCGGACAGAATGCTTCAAATGCAAAACACCAAGAGATTATGGTAAGCAGCCTTCAAAATTACCATATGTTAATTTATGAACACAAATTAGAAAAGGGGCTCAGCTCATGATCTGCAAATGTTTACTTGGTTGCAGGTCTGTAACACATGCTCTATTTTGATCAAGTGGTGCTGTTTAAGAAAATGGAGTGTAGAAGACTCTCTTATGCACCATCTTCCTCAAATCTCTTTTCGCACTGATCCCTCGTCAAATGCTGTCTATTTTTTTCCTCTACTTTTCTTTTTAGAGATAAATAAGCTTAGGTTGATCATGGTTGAAGGCACATTTTCACAAGCATAGCCATTCCACTGACAACTGTATTAGCGAGGGTTTTCTAGTTTCATGTTGCAAGGAAGGTGCTCTTCCATGAAGCCCAGAAATCCCTTCTTCTCTCTCTCTAGTTTTAAATTAATGGAGTAACTAAGTTTGTCTGTACCTATCAACTCTCTCTCTCTCTCTCTCTCTCTCTCTCTCTCTCTCGGGTTGTGTGTGCGTGGGGAACGTGCAAAATTGATAATGCAATACTACTTTCATCATGAGATGGTCCAACATTGGCAGTGGCTACAAAGATCAACAGAGAAATTCAAAAAAAAAAAAAAAGAAGAAGAGAAAACAGATACTAGATTCAAGGAATCTCTTTGAGTTGTTCACTTTAAAGGCCTTCTCTCACTGCAATAATTTATCACCCCTTTAAGCATCAAATATCCAAGAAACAAATAATTATGCAGATAAGAACCAGATGCTCTGATTCAATAAAGCATAGATGCAATGCAATATGGAAGTTCAAAGTGAGTCAAATTCAACTTTTTCCTTGGAAAAGCTTTTGCATTTCATTTGATGGCAAAGCAAAGCACACAAAAATGAACCTCAACGTCAGGCGCAGTAGCTAGAAAGACGAGTTCATGCCATTGGATTCTATGTCTTGTGCTAAATTTGGATAAAGTTTTCAACTTCCAACTACGCAGTTTCTGGTGAATTAGTTCCACAAGCACATTACGCAGACTTTAAATTTACTTTCAGCTTTTCTTTTTCCTCTTTTGGTATCATACTCCAGGAAAAGGTTCCAAGCTAAAGATCATATATATATATTTATCACGTCCTTCTCCATTCTGAGAAACCATCTGTCTGCATAATACATGGTCTCTCTGGATCTCATTGAATTTCATTCGGAGGAGGAACCTTATGAAGATCGTATTGATTCTTATATAAAAAAATACAGGATTAACCGAGGCCATGTATTAATTCATGTAATCTAAATTAAAAACATGGCCCAAAATACATGCATTCTTGATACTACATTGTTGCTGTCAATTACATAGCTCTTGTTCTGAAAATTTACTTATTGTCCAATGAAGTCTGCTTTGTCAATCAAATTTCTGCATAAATAAAGCTTGCCTTGTCCAATGAAGGAGAATACTATTTCTGGCTTTAAACAGATGCCAAAACAACAAAGACAAAAGTCCAGCCATGTTATACCAACAAGAAAAATTTGAGCCATATTATAATATTTCCATGGTCAAATAACAGGCAGGATTAACCGAGGCCGTGTATTAATTCATGTAATCTAAATTAAAAACATGGCCCAAAATACATGCATTTTTTATTCTACATTGTTGCTGTCAATTACATAGCTCTTGTTCTGAAAATTTACTTATTGTCCAATGAAGTCTGCTTTGTCAATCAAACTTCTGCATAAATAAAGCTTGCCTTGTCCAATGAAGGAGAATACTATTTCTGGCTTTATACAGATGCCAAAAAAACAAAGACAAAAGTCCAGCCATGTTATACCAACAAGAAAAATTTGAGCCATATTATAATATTTCCATGGTCAAATAACAGGGATGGCAAAAGTCATGCAAGATATCAGGCAGCCCACAAAATGAACTGCTATGAGTCATGCCGTCAGGGGGTAGACACACCATCAGGGATATGGCAAAAGTCATGCACCAAAAACTACTTGATTTGTTCAATTCAGCTAAACGGCCTCACCATTAATCACTTTTTAACTTTATCATCAGTCATTTTTTGCAACTCCTTGTTTTATTACTCAATCAAATTTGATTTGTCTAAGGACCTTTTGAGAGTATTTGTCCCACATTAAAAAGTTAAGGGACCAAGCCTGGGTTTATAAGGAGTTGGGCTACTCCCCCCATAGTCAATTGATTTTGGGATGGAACCTCAACTTTCTTCATGATATCAGAGTAAGGCTTCACGTGTTGGGCCCAACGGCCACATGTGATCCCACGTCACCCAATATGCGTTGTCCATATGTTAGGCTTCAAAGTTCGCCACATGTGCGGGGGCGTGTTGAGAGTATTTGTCCTACTTTGAAAAATTAAGGAACCAAGCCTGGGTTTATAAGAAGTTGGGCTACTCCCCCCATAGTCAATTGATTTTGGGATGGAACCTCAACTTTCTTCATGATATCAGAGTAATGCTTCACGTGTTGGGCCCAACGGCCACATGTGCTCCCACGTCACCCAATATGCGTTGTCCATATGTTAGGTTTCAAAGTTCGCCACACGTGCGGGGGCGTGTTGAGAGTATTTGTCCTACTTTGAAAAATTAAGGGACCAAGCCTGGGTTTATAAGGAGTTAGTTTTAATTTAATTGGAAGCGCCAATCATCAAATTGATCGGTGCATTTGGTCTAGAGGATTGCCAAAGAAAATGTTGCAATCTTCATTGCTCTTCCAATTTCAATACGAATGTGTAGTGGTTTATGGATTGGTTATTAGAACCTTAATTTGAACCACGAGATTGTAAACTCAAGTGGTTAAGAACAATCCCAATATCTTATATTCGAATTTCAACTCCCCGAATATCGCTTGTAACAAAAAAAAACCCTTTCAAAATTATAGGTGAAGAAACTTTGAACCAATTTTTTATAACTTGCATTGAATTATAGAAACTAGCCTCTTAAGCAAAAAAGAAGAAGATAAGAACAAGTAAATGAAATACTAAAATTTCTTTTAAATTATAAACAAATATGGGAGAGAAAAAGAAAGAAAGAAAGAAATGTAAAAAGGCAAAAACTGAAGAAGAAAAAAAAGAAAAAAGAAAAGAAAAGAAACCTAGGAAGGGACACGTGCAAAGCAACAGATGGGCGGCCCACCAAAATAGCAGTCCTTGCAGGTGACCTAAGCACCTGCTGAGTGACGTGCAAATTATAAAAGGTTAAACTAAAATTACAGGCCGTAATTACTAGCCAAGTCAAGCCCTGTCAGTTTTTTTTAACCCCGAAATCGCAGGGTTTTGGGACGCGTAGGGGTTTAAGGCCTTCTCACACAAACTCTTCCTAGTAGTCGTGGGTGGGACTCAGGAGTCAGTACTCACCGATTTCGTTTCTCTCCTACAAAAATTAGGGTTTCTGCTTTTTGGCGGCTAGGGTTTGACTCCACCCAATAAAGATTGGCTCTTTTTTAGCATATCTTATTTCTTCCCTGTTATATGCTTTCCCTGTTCTTTGAAGAGTTCATCAACTCTGTCACTCCTCTCCAACATTCCAACTTCAATTTGGGTTTTGTTATTTTATCCCCAATTCTCGTCTGGGTTTTCTTGTGACAAGTTGTGAACTTTGATCCTTCCTCTCATCAAAATCAATCTAGGTTGGTGGGCTTTGTGAAGAAAGTTTTGGCTTTTGCACAGGTTATGATCTGATCTGGGTGTTCTTGAATAGACCCTGCTTGTTGATTTGATCATTATCTGGTACAGTTCTTTGATTCTTACTTGCTCTCATACATTAAAATTGTATAGTATTTCTTGAGACATTTAAACTTTGTAAATGTTTCCAGTTTCTTCAAGCCTAAGTTTTTCATCTTTATTTGATTGATTACAGAGGGAGGTTTAAAAGTAGTTTCTGAGGCATGAATTTTTCTGATCACACACAATTTATGCCGTCACAAACGCCTTATGCTGGAGGCAGTGATGCAGTAAATTGTTGGCCTCCATTCCCTATGAGTATGAACAATGAAGACCAACATTCTCAGTTTGAACAGCTGCCTTCTCCATTTAAAAGACCACGAAATTCTGAAGAAAACCAATCGAATCCAATGCCCTACCCACCCATGAACGCTAGGATGCAGCCCCCAAATGCCCCAGTTAACAAGGGAGCGAGCAACATTTTCTATAAGACCCGTTTGTGTGTAAATTTTAAAACCGGCATGTGCAGGAATGGTGAGAACTGCAACTATGCACATGGCATTGAAGACATCCGCCATCCCCCTCCCAATTGGCAAGAACTTGTTTCTGTACGTGAAGAAGATCGACCACCATTGTCCGGTAATTGGGATGATGATCAGAAAATAATCCACCGGATGAAGCTATGCAAGAAGTTTTACAATGGGGAGGAGTGTCCTTATGGAGATAGGTGTAACTTTCTTCATGAAGATCCAGCAAAGTTTAGGGATGATATAAGCAGGTTTAGGGAGAACACATCAATAAGCATTGGAACTACAGGACCATCGGTGGTACATGGGAGTGGCTCAAATCATTCTGAGGAAAATAGGCTTGTAAACACGGGTATGGATACTTTCCGTGTAAATATGAAGCCGGTGTATTGGAAGACAAAGTTATGTAATAAGTGGGAGACTACAGGCAAATGCCCCTTTGGCGAAAAATGTCACTTTGCTCACGGCCAAGCAGGTATTTCCTAGTGCTTTAGCATAGTATATTTTCATTATTACTATGCTTGGTGCTTTGCTTTGTGTGATTAATTTTAACCCTGAAACAAGTTTATGTTCATATCAACATTGAACCTATGTTAGACCCTGAATTTGCACTGAAAACCGGATTTGGAACTGATGCAGTGTTTGCTTGTGGAATAGGAAGACTAGCCTTTTATTGCAAATTAGATTAGAGGACCAGTAGTGCTTTTACTTAAATCTCGTAGGTTTTTTTTCGAGTGGCACATAGCTGACTCGTAGGTTTTTTTTTTCGAGTGGCACATAGCTGACCTGCAATGCTATTCTTCATAGATGAGGAATTTACTGATGTGAATTTAACTTTGGTATTCATGATTCCTGCTTTAGAAATTTATGTATTTTGTTTTGTGCACTCGGTTAGTAACAAGCAACCTATCACTGTCTAGCGTTTATTTATCTTATGGGATTGGCGTGTTCATGAGATGATTAGGAATTTACTTTAAGCTGTTTATACATGCATTTTTTAAAGTTGTTCTGTTAGTTATGGTAATCTGTAGTGGGTAGAGAAGGGTTAAGAAGGTGGAAACTACCATTTGGTGCTAATTCTGGTTTTCTAATAATGAACTTTAAATTTCAGAGTTACAAGTGCCTGGTGGACGAGTTGAAGCCGAAGTTTTGAGTAGTACACCCATTTCAACAAAACCCCAAGCTGGTCCTGTTAATGATTCCTCTACAACTGCAATGGCAATACAGCCTGCTTCAAATGACGAAGGGGGCCAGGGTAAGAAGAGGGTGCTAAAATGGAAAGGGTCCAAAAAGATCAATCGCATATATGCTGATTGGCTTGATGATGTGCCGCTGGTGCAACAGCAGAACTTGTCCAGCACAGTGGAGAGCTAAATTTGAGTTCAAGCTCTGGTCTTGGAGTCATTTTCCAGTTAAAAAATCAGAGTGCTGTGTTTCAAAAAATTTGTTCTCCAGGATGATTCGTTTCCAGAGATTGGTCATTGTTGGTTGTCGATCAGGTCTATAGGTTTCTATTTCTTATTATAGTTTTGGCTCCTCGCTCAGTCATTAGATTATGTTATAATAATGATGCAAAACTAGCTATTGTTTTTAAAAGATCAAATAAGAAGTGAATGTGATTATTATTCATGTGCACCCTAAAAGGGGAGAGAAACTTGCCTATTCCTTGTTGTGTATATGTACCTCGCCTTTCCCCGTCAATGTGGGAGTTTAGCAATTCGTAAAACAGAGGTTATATATGGAAACATCTTCCATGGCAAACAAGAAAGGCCCTGGCAAATCACTCCTGATGTCAATCATGCATTTAGCCTTTGAACTGTAAACGGGTGTATTTATCTTTCTGATATTGCATCAGATGCTGTATTTGAATTTCCCATAATCGTAGACGAAAAAAATAAAAATAAGAAAGGCAAAAATAAGTGCTGAGAGTGCCTAAAGCAGTTGTCCATTTTGAAAGTGATTATAGTAAAAGTGATTTTTTTTAATATAAAAAAAGGTTCAAATTTTTGTAACAAATTTAAGTACTTTCTGGAAAAGCAATTGAAAGTGTTTCATGGAGAAGTACATAGCGTACTCGTTTGGGAATGTTTCTTCAAAAGCACTTTTGCTTATAAGAGCTTATAGTAAAAGTGATTTTTTTAATATAAAAAAAAGGTTCAAATTTTTGTAACAAATTTAAGTACTTTCTGGAAAAGCAATTGAAAGTGTTTCATGGAGAAGTACATAGCTGATGCTTCTCAAGAAAGTGCTTTTATGATATAGAAATACTTCTAAAATTTTCTACCAACGCTTTGATAAACACTTTTAGTTGTCAGAAAACACTTTTTACACAACATTTCCAAACAGGCCCAAAGACTCCCATCTAACCACTTGGGCTTCTTTAATTGTGGGCTCATCTCACAGCAGCACCAGCTTTGGGTCTCAATCAATCAGGACAGTTGTCGTTACTGGAGGCTCCTTAGTCATCACCTACCTCCGTTGGCTTTCCCTCTCTCCTCAAAAACCCAAAGCCACCACCCAATGGAAGCATGGTCAAGCTTTCTCTCCTCTCTTCTTCCACTCATCTGCTTTCTTTCTGTAGAAAACTTACTGTCCAGACCTTAACCAGAAGAAGTCTTTGTTCTGGTTCGACCACCACCATGTCCATAAACCTACAGTCCCATGCCTTTGCTGGCAATCCTCTGATACCCAAGACACCAAAATCAAGTGACCCATTTTCACCAACCCAAGCCTATGAGACCCTCAAAACCCAACTTTTAGACAATACCCACTTGCCCTCTTCTCTCAGTTTCAAGGTTTTGCCCTTCAGAAAGGGCAGGCCTTTAGCCTCCTCCACTGGTGGAACCAGTGATTCCACACCAAATTGGCATCTGGGTTGGATCAGTTTGTCCGAGTGTAAAGGTTTATTGGCCAATTCTGGGGTTGAGCTGAGTGGAGAATCGCTGGTCTATCTGGGTTCGCGGTCGGGGGATGATGTCGTTTATTGGGCCATTGATGTTTCTGGTGAGAGTAGCGTGGTTCCTGAATTGGGTAGCAAGCAATTATGTTTTGTTGAGCTACGAACGCTTATGGTGGCTACTGATTGGGCTGATGCCCGGGCTATGGGGGAGTTGGCTATTGCTGGTCATGTAAATGCTTGTTGTTATGTTTAATTTTTTACTTCTATACTAAGTGTTGGGTCATTATTGATTGCAAAGGTTTGTGCTATTAGAAAATAATGTCAGTTAGATCAATTTCTTTGAATTGGAATGCATGTTTAATCAATGAACAAATTGAAAGTGTTTTCTTATTGGCGCGCAACAGTTGGGGGATGGTCTCAATATTTTTCCTAAATAGTTTCATATATGTTGTATGGGTTTCATGTGTGATCAGGCCAGGGCTTTGCTAGAATGGCATAATATATCACTATTTTGTGGACATTGTGGAGGAAAAACAGTCTCCAAGGAAGCTGGGAGGCGGAAGCAATGTTCAAATGAGCTGTGCAGAAAGAGGGTCTACCCTCGTGTTGATCCGGTATAATTATGTCAATTTCAGGCATTGCTTCAATCCCTTACGTAGTTGTCTCATGCATATGCCATTCTCAACAGGTTGTCATAATGTTAGTCATTGATAGAGAGAACGATCGTGTTCTGCTAAGCAGACAATCTCGATTCGTACCTCGAATGTGGAGTTGCTTAGCTGGTTTTATAGAGGTAAGTGCCTTGGCCAACTTTAGGACCAATACTTCCGTGTTATGAAATATGTCAGTTACTGTTAAGTTAGTAACTCTTAGTAATATTAGTATATTAGTATTATAACTCACTTTTGAGGGTTGCGTAACTCTGAGTTTTATTAATTTGGATCCTTTTGTTTTCCTTAGCCAGGAGAAAGCTTAGAAGAAGCAGTGAGGAGAGAAACATGGGAGGAGACCGGTATTGAAGTAGGAGAAGTTGTATATCATAGCTCTCAGCCATGGCCTGGTATGAATGTTGCCAAATTTTTATTTTGCTTTTTGGAGCAAAGTATTGCACACTGTCTGGACTTATTTCTTTGGGTTCTATTGATTGATTAAGTTCCTAGTTTGGTTTGTTTTCAGTTGGACCAAATAGCATGCCATGCCAGTTGATGGTTGGGTTCTATGCATATGCAAAATCGCTTGAACTAAATGTGGACAAGGAAGAGTTGGAAGGTACACAGGAAATTAGCATGTAGTTGCATTATTTGATCAAACCCTCTATCACATTAGCCCTTTCTTTATAATGAATTTGGTTGCATGAGGTTGTTTTGTGCTCTGCATGATTATAATATTTATGCAAGGCATGCATCTGATAACGTCATATGAGCTACAATGTACGCATCAGATCAGATGAAGTTCTAATTTTGTTCTTTAAAATTTTGTTTCCCTAGATGCTGAGTGGCACAGTAGAGAAGATGTCAAAAAAGCTTTAGCATATGCTGAATACAGGAAGGCACAGCAAACAGCGGCATCAAAGGTAGAACAGATGTGCAAGGGAGTTGAGAAAGGGCAGAACTTCTCTGCAGACTTCAATGTGGAAAGTGGTGAACTTGCACCCATGTTTATACCCGGGCCATTTGCAATTGCCCATCACCTCATCTCTTCTTGGGTCTATCAGGATGCAGGTGATAGTGTCGCAGCACGTCTAAAACAACCTAGTGGTTCTACTTCGAATTTGTAGCAGTGCATAAATTCATTTCATCCATAATCCAAAATCCTGGATGAACTAAATGTCTTGTCATCACCAAATAAGCTCAGATATATTCTAATTCTGATGGTTTAGGGTTATTGGCATTTCAAATTATTATTTTTCTTTCCCAAGATTCCCATTATTTCATCCTTGTAATATAGTTTATGTTGGATTTTTATTCAATCGCCTTTTTCTTGTCTACATGTAACTCACATATGTATGTGTATGTATTTCAACTGTTTATGATATATTTCAAATCATTGCCGGTTGTGGCAAAAGGGGGAGAACAAACCACCCGGAAGTTGATTTTACCCTAAGTTTCAATGAAATGAACATGCAAGCTGGACACAGATTAGCATATATTAACAGCGAATAATGTTTACCACTACTAGTCTTTGAATCTTGATCAACTTCAGGTGTGTTTTTTTTTTTTCCTTATTCATATGACTCGAGTTTCCAGGTCAAAATGCTTCTGTCTAAGGGAGGAGGGAGACGGAGCATTGAGCCACACCTTGATTTAAAAATTGCTAATATGTTTGGTATAATCTTTCGGCTAATATCCCTTAATTGACTTGACAGAACCAGAAAAGAAAATGGCACAGATCCACCACCGATGGCACCAAGATTTTGTGCATGTTATTTTTAGGTATGAAGCTAAGATCTCTTAGCCACCATTTCCTGTAGCACTTGCCCATTTTATGGTTGACCTCGCCAAAGCATCCATGGGGTCAACACATTTCTTAAGAAGAGGATCATCACGAGGCAGAACACCCTGCAGCTCATCAGAAGCAATGATCACGGTGTTCACCGCCCTCACCAACAGAACCTGCACTGCAATTCTTAAGAGATTTCGTGCCCCTTCCATGTCCCTCCTTTTCATTGCTTCGATTGCAGGAATCACAACATGTTCCATGGTTTCTTTGTCAGGTACCACAACCTCAAACCCCTGTTCATTGCCATTGAAAGAAAAAAACCACAAAATGTTTTCACCGGTGACTTTCATTGATTTTACCAAATGTTCTTAGTAGTTTACATAGATATAATAAGCAACAAAGTAACCATAAATGAACAAAATAAGCTTGAATGTATACCTGACTTTTTAGCTTTTCCTGGTAAAATCCAGCCATTAAAGTTGCATCAGCAGCAAGCACCCCAATCCTTACATTACTTCCATTCTCCAGTGGCTTCAGCTTTGCTTCCTTGAGCTCCCGAGCAACACACTCGCCGACGTGAAGGAAGCGCAACGAACAGTCCTCAGAAATCTGGTCGTGCCACGCATGAGACAGATGGCATGGCATGACTATGCAGCGAGCTCCAGAGTGCTCAAGGAATGCCCGTTTACGGCACAAGCTCTCAATGATGGGCCAATTGTTGGATAGGATTTGAGCACTAGCTCTTGATCTTGTGAATGAATGAAACAAGCTACGAATTGGAAGCTCTTTATATAGTGTTGGATCACTGCACACAACAAAAGGTGGGCATTCTCCTCCATCTTTTAGACTCCACCAGACAAGCTTCTCCAAGAAAAGCAGACTTGAAAAAACAGACAGCCCTCCAATGATACCAACTGTGTTTGGCTGGCTGAGTATGTAGTTGGGGGCTTGGAATCTTGTTAGAGGCATGCTTGATCTCCTAGATTCGGGCAGATTTCCACTCTCGTTGGTTTGGAGGACTGAAGATACTTGCACAACAGCTACGGATGGGCTTGATTTGGTTCTGCTGCGAGACCTGTTTTTGGTTGCAACTCCAAGAAGAAGAGGTGGACGATTTTGTGTGTGGAAGGACATGGTCATGCCTGCATCAACCATCTCCTATGATTAGCTACTCCCTGAGGCAGCTTCTTCACTCTGTATCTTATGTTACTTGCAATTTTTAGCTTCGAGTTCTATAAGACCGTAAAATACCAGTTTCTAATTTTCTTGTACCGAATCCACCTTCGGAAAC